TTTCATTTAAAAGAAAATTGCGCAAATTTAATAAAGATTTCACTTTCTCTTAATCTTCAGAATAATTTTCTTAGTTCTGAGAAAAGCGGGCCATTGGATTTTGCAATAAATTTTTTAAATATTTCTAAGTAACTTTGATTTATAAAATGACATTGATCGTTCTAGTACTGACGTACAGATTCGTCATCGAGACAAGGATTTCATATGCGATTTCCGATATGCCGGTGCAAATAAAATATGCCTATCTTTATACAAATCAACGTCAATGTAAATGAGATCGCGGGACATTCGTCCCGCCGATTGCACGCTAAAGAAAAAGGAAGCAGTATAATCGCTATCATGATACATCTAGTTCCTCGATGCGTAATCTAAGAATCGGCGGCTCTTAAGACTTGCTGTGTCTAAAGAAGAAGACGAAGTAATTGTGTACATCAATCGCGCACAATCGATATACATCGTAATAGGTGTAAAAATAATAAAATTAGTGATAGTAAACCCCTCTATTATACATACGGCATGTAATTTGTGTATGTGAATGTGTTCTCCTTCATACGTGTATACGTGTATATAACCGTTCGATCCGGTCGTAAAACGTTCAACATAATAAAGGAAACTCTCCCAAGCAAGCTAATTCTAAGATAATGTAATATCTTTTTCTTGTTTATTCATATAGCTTCTATTTATATTAGGTATGCACGTACGTGTGATAACTAAACAGATACATGATTTTCTTTTCTTCCATCGCATCACACACGTCACGGCCACTAGCGGCCTCGTCTTAACTTCAAAGAGCAGGAGGCTGTCACGATCATCACCATAAGATCAAAAGAAAAATGAGATGCTTTCAGCTATATCTGTTCGAATAACGACTCTTATCCCCGTCTACTATGATTTCCTTCCTGGACTTAGAGTCGACTCATCGGTCAATATCCATATCGCAGATTTGGCGCTGATAGAGTGATTACTTGCGCAATATTAAAGTCAAACAAATATTTAATAAATTTCAATTAATTATGCATTATCTTCGTTTTTTTTTTTTTTTTTTAAATCAGAAGATTTAAAAAAGATTGTCTAATTTAAAATTAGCTCTAATTCTAACTTTGACTAATCAAATCAATCTAAAGAAAAATTTCTGATAAGATTCCTCGAATTGTGTTGGTTGACACAATTTTATTCTTCCGATAACTTGTAATTTTCACATTAAACAATATAATCGGATGATTATAGTAAAACATGATCTTATTAAAACGTTTGAAGTATTAAAGAAAGATATGGATATACCGACAATTTTGAAAGTACAGGAAGGAACTCCAGATAGAAAACCCGCGCAAGACAATGCCTTCAAAATATTGTGCACTATAAGCACAAATATTCAGACGGGTTTTAAGTCAGAATCATTATTTCAAGTCATAATCACATAATACATTTCTATATAATCTGCGTATATATTGTTCACATCTCTTTAATATAATTTGCTATATATAATATATATATATATATAAATCTGTTTCTCTTTCTCTTTATTTGAGAATGTCAGCGCGATATATTCTGCGCAATTTTCAACTAAAAGAACTTGCACGTGCCTGAATAATCGAAAAATTATATAGAAATATATAGAAAAAAAATATACAAATTAGAAATATAAATCATTTCAAATATATAAATAATTGCACTGCTTCCACATATATGCAGTGGTACGCCAATTATGCTAATACTAGCTTTTTTTTATCAAAATCACTTTTTCCTTGCTTTTCGCAAAGAGTATACTTAAAGCAGCCTCCTGCTCTCCAATATAACTATATTTAATGGTTTCTCAGAATTATATGAAGTAAAATTTGTAAAATACAATATACTGTCTATATCATAAATTCTTAATCTTTTTCTTTATAAATAATTATAGTAATAGTCTTCACAATCTTTTGTTAATTTATTATACTCAGATGCCATTCTCTTGAATTAAATTTAAATATTACATTTGTGCCCTTTCCGCACTAATTCATTTTTATAGTATATTCTGCATGGCTGCGTTTCTCTCTCTCTCTCTCTTTCTTTCTCTCTGTGTATGTTTATATATATAATACATATATAATCTAAATGACTTATATATTATTTACATATGTACATGTTTAACAACAGTACGTCGTTCCAGCCAGTTCAATTTTTCAACTTTCCTTTTTCATCGTTATTAAAGATCAATTTTTCGCGTTCTCCGCTCCACAGAACATACAACTATTACGCGGAACGCGGATACTCTCTATTCTCACTTCAAAACTTTTCGGGAATAACTTTGTTCGCAAATTTCTACTGACGGATTATAGTAATAAATAATGATGAAAAATAGTTCTGGTCAGATCTTTTGTTTCGTCATCTCCTGGATAGGACGACCGTTGTATCTCCATTATCTTAGAGCTCTCGTACAATCGCACATCGTCGTATATAAATCCAATCGAACTGAAAGCTAATTACAGAAAAACTTACAACTCTTAGAAAATAGGCTCCGCCCCGTCGCTCTGATTTATCTCTCCGCTCACTCTACACTTGGCCAACCTCGTATTTGCCTTCGGCGACATTTTTTCCGTAAGAAGTGCAAATATTACACAGAACAACTGTTTGCTTTAGAGGAGTCAAAGAGGAAGACTCTAGCTCTATATTTCGCGCGGCACATGCACTAGTATCATCGAAAAGTCGAATCTCCCGGAGTATCATATTCGCGTTTACGTTTATTCTCACTTCAAAACTTTTCGGGAATAACTTTGTTCGCAAATTTCTACTGACGGATTATAGTAATAAATAATGATGAAAAATAGTTCTGGTCAGATCTTTTGTTTCGTCATCTCCTGGATAGGACGACCGTTGTATCTCCATTATCTTAGAGCTCTCGTACAATCGCACATCGTCGTATATAAATCCAATCGAACTGAAAGCTAATTACAGAAAAACTTACAACTCTTAGAAAATAGGCTCCGCCCCGTCGCTCTGATTTATCTCTCCGCTCACTCTACACTTGGCCAACCTCGTATTTGCCTTCGGCGACATTTTTTCCGTAAGAAGTGCAAATATTACACAGAACAACTGTTTGCTTTAGAGGAGTCAAAGAGGAAGACTCTAGCTCTATATTTCGCGCGGCACATGCACTAGTATCATCGAAAAGTCGAATCTCCCGGAGTATCATATTCGCGTTTACGTTGCGTTTATCGCTTTTTCCTCTGCGGCAAAAGTTGCGATTTCACCTGGGCACGCTCTCCCTACCTAATGATTCAGGGTTGGCCAAGCTCTCATTCATGCTACGAATCAAGATCGTCCTCTCTCTGGCTACTGAAATAAGATACCAGCCCGCCAAATTCACCGGTGCCCTCTTCATCGTACTGTTTGTTACCGACATTGGGATCGCCTGGATGTGACTGCTGTGGTGGCGGCGGTCCCTGAGGTGGTGGAGGCCCCTGGATCGGAGGTTGGTTGTCTGCCGGTGAAGAGAAGTGCTCCGAGGGATACGGTGAGCCCTGGTAGGCGGCTGCATCGTCCGCCGTGGACATCGGCGGGGGTGGTGGATAGGCACCGTAATGGTAATTGGGAGGCGGAGGCGGATGATACGGTGAGAAGTTACCAGGTGGTCGATTGGGGGGCGGCGAAGGTTGTTGCAGGTTGTGATTGACCGGCGAAGCGTTGGTAAACGGCGGCATCTGATGCCTAGGTCCCATGGGATTCTCGGCAAACCTGGCCATCGGCGGTCCGCCCCGTACGTACGGCGGGGGCGGTGGCGTCGGGCCACCCTTGGCCAATGGACTGCCGGCCGATGGTGGAATCATCGCCGGTCCGCCGGTTAGAGGTGAACTGCGATCTCGATTATTAATCGAGATCGGTCCACCGCCCGATGGCGACGGATCCATTGGATGATGGGGCGTGTGATAAATTTGTGGTCCGGGTACTCGCATACGCATCGGCGGCGTGCCCGATCTAACCGCGGCGAAATGTGGTGGCATAGATGATTGACCTGCCTGTCTATACGGAGATGGAATCCTGGCGCGCGGCTGCATCTCATATCCCGTTCGCGGACCGCCCATGATTTGTCCACCGACATTAGGCCCACCAAAGTATTTGTGACCCATCGCGGCCGCTGCTGCGGTGAAGGACTGCGGACTGTTGGATACTGGTTGGGACTGAAGCATTCTTGTAATGACGGAAGACTGTTGGCCAGATGGTAGCGCTGGATAAACCGGCTGAGAGTTCGACGATTGTGTCGACGGTGGGCCTGGTGTCGGAACGGCACTCGCCGGTGGTGTGGAGGGCGCCGAACCGGATGTACTGCTACCTGGTGTAGGAAGAATATTCGGAATATCATTCTGTTTCATCTCCGGGTTCGAGTCGGTGCCCATGCCGGCCATCAAGCCGACTTCGACCACGGCCTTAGCCGCTGCCTCCGCGGCTCTAGCTGCCTCTAATGCAAGCGTCTTCTTGCCTTTGCCACGACCTCGTCGTTTCGGCTTCATCGGCGTACCGTCTGGATTAAAAAGCTGTCCATCCAGTCCAGTCATAAGAGGCATATGCCCACCTTCGATGCTTCTGTCGGTTTCCGGTGTCAAACTCGTAGGTAAAGTAGCAGGATTCACGTTGTGCGATTGCATATTACTCGCGCTGTCCGGCGTGCCAATAGTACCGATGGTTGCCGCCGGCGCGATGCCCAGATTCGATGCACTGTCCCTGCGCATTTGCTCAGCAATTATCTCGGCTTTGCTGCGACGTCCGCGTTTTTTCTTCTTAGGCGCCTCGCCGTCCATTCCGTCGGGCGCGTTGGGATCCCTCTGTCTTTCTGCTGCCAATATCTCCAAAGCTTTCAAACGTGCCTTCTCCAACTTCTTAGCCTCTCGTTCCTCTTTCTTCTTCTTTTTCGCTATCTCGATTGCCGCGAGTTCCAATTGCCGTCGTCCGTATTCTTCATCCAACATCATCTGCTCGAGCTGCTCCTCATCCAAGTCAGCCAACTCCCCAGCACCAAGACTCGTCAGCGAACCCTCGGGAACATCTCCGGTAAACGAGCTCGCCACCGACATCGTTGTACCTGTCAGTCCGACATTATCCGGAAGATTCTCATCCATTTTAGACGTTATATCGATAGGGTTGTCCATGACCGCGCCGATCATATCTCCATCTGCGTCATCTTTTAACTTCTGTTTACGCGCTCTGTTTTTGCTTCCCGGTTTCGGTCCAGGTTTCTTTCTTTGCTTCGGCATATCGTCCGACAATGATTTTCGCTTCATTCCAAGATTCTTGCCGTTACGCGGTTTCTTCGTCTTCAGTGATTTGTTCTTAAATTTTAGAGCATCCTTCTTGGGAATATAAACATCTCCTGGAAAAGTTGACCAAAAAAGTTGACCTAACCTAACCTAACGATCATTATTTATATATTTATATATAATGTAATTCATAAATGCATGACAAATGCACAATTCTTTTCAAGTAGAAAAATTGCGTGTAGCGCTTTCCTAGCGCTGCACTATGAATATCTTTTGATATATAAATGAGATATAGAAACGCTACATTACCTGAATCGGAATCCTTCTCCCCATCATCATTTATGTCATCAGCCTCGTTCACCACAAATTCATCTTCGCTCTCGCCAGTTTTCCTCATCATCAGCGCCTTCTTCAGTTCCTATAAAATAACCAGAATTTTAATATACATAACAACTTTGTTAAATTAAAATGTCTCACCTCCTCACTATCTGATGCTATTTCCTCTCGATAATTGATCTTCCGTCCTCGAGTCCTTCTACCTAATATTTCCTCCTCTTCTCGTCTATTTTCGTCTGGAAGTCCACCATAAATAATCTGTAAAAAATAAAATTTTATAAAATTATTATTATTTTACTTGTGTGTAAAAACATCATGCAATTATCATTAAATCAAAGTACAAAGTAAATATATACCTTTCGTCTAATAGTTGGAGCTTTTTTCGGTTTAGGTAGAATATCCTATAAAAAAAAAATATATATATATATATATTCAGCATCAATTTGTATATTGCAGTGATAAAGTAACAAATAAGGAAAAAACAAAAAAACATAGGTTGATAGCATCGTATTCAAAAAGTTTACTATACAGGATGTCCCAGAGTTACCGCACCACCTGCTAATGGCAGATTCTTGAGATCATTTGAAGATGATTTTTCCTCCGCAAAAATGTCAAGAGAGGTCATCATTTTTTGTAAATTCCCAATTTTTCCATCATATATTTTTATAACTAAGTCTTAAATTAAAATTCTCTCCCTCTATTAAAGTAAACTCTATCTGAAATTAACTAAAGAATTAGTTTTAACTCTCTATAAAGTTTAGTTTGCAAAAAGCCCTTTTTTTAATCATTTATAACATGGAAATTATTGATGCCTCGATATTTTTGCTGAGGAAAAATCATTTTAAAATGATCTCAAGAATTCGTCATTAGTAGGTGGTGCGGTAACACTGGGGCACCCTATATATTAGATATAAGTTAGTAGCTTTTGTAAAAACCCAAAGAAACAGTACATTAAATAGTAGAAAAACGTATATTTAAATACTTAAAAATAGCGAAAATTATTATTTTAGGGTATAGTGACATAAATAGAGAAAATGAGCAATGAGATAGAAAACAGTTTACTGAAAATATATTAGCAGTATGCGGCAAGGGAGAGAGAGAGAGAGCCATATTATGATACATATTGTGGTAAAAAGCAACAATTTCACATTGTCTGTGATCAAAGCAGAATATGTTACGCTATTCTTCACGTGCCAAAAAAACATCAGTAATTAATTAAAAAATATTTACCTTTTTGATTTTTTGAATCGGCACTATCTCTGGTGGCTGTGAAATCTGGGGAATCGGAACATCTGAGGCTACTTCTTGTAATTTAATATCTTTCATCTCGACATTATTTTCACTAGTGTTATTTTCAAAATTCTCTTGTTTATTAATGTCCATCACCTCAGTCAGCCCAGTAGTGTCTACGTCTTGCAAGTTAGATTCACATTGTTCTTCAATTTTCGGCTCATCTTCTTCATCGTTTTCGCTCTGATTGTCGGATTCTATTATACGTTTTCTCTTTTTCCTCTTTTTGCCCTTTGTCTTAGGTACCGTTCTGATCCTGGATGTTGGTATTGTTCTGCTTCTGCAATAAAAAATAATTTTAGATATTCTTGCTCATAATCTTTAATACATCATTTTTCATTTTTATCTTTATTTTTCGGTTAGAAACTGATAAATTTCTGTTTATGACTTTTTTATGTCAGATTATTGTAAGTGCCTTACAAATCGTGGCGACCGTTACGAGGACCACCCAGTATATAAATTAAATAATTTTCATAAACAATTTTTAAAAATTATGCAATTATTTTAGTGAAATTTATACTTAAAAAATGTTACATAAAAAAAATATGCGTAGAGAATTGAGATATTAAAAAATATAGTTTGTCACAACTCACTAAAATCTTCATCATAAGCCCTAGTCATACGAGCTCTGGTAGATCTTCTAACAGGACGCGAGTCGCCTTTTCTACCACGTCGTTTTACATTGGCAAAACTATCGTCGGATGATGTAATATGATCATCAAAGTCTTCCTCTTCTTCGGAACTCGTACCCTTGAAATCTTCATCACTATCTGGATCGTCTTCGCTGCTTATATCAAGGCTGTTTAATTTTCGATGTTTCTTACGTGCTAACAATTTCTTAGCAACCGTATTTTGTTTCTCTTCTATTTCATCAATCATATCTTCATTCTCAATCTTATATTCCTCGTCGCTTTCTTTTTCTGGTTTTGATTCCATATCGTCCTTATCCTCTTCTAATTGCGTCATCTTTAACGCTTCGGCCTACAAAAGAACAGACATTATATATAATAATACGATAGTATTATCACATTTGCATATCATATATTTATTGTTTAATCATTTTACCTGAGCCTCTTCCTTCTCCGCGTTGACTATCGTTGCAATGTCTTTACCCCTTCCCTGGTTGCCAGCACCTTGAACCGCTTCAACTTCATCCTGAATTGCGGCGTTAATCATATCATCATACTCGTTAAACTTGTAGGTGTTGGCGCATCGACGTTCACGTAATTGATAAACTGGTTCGCTTTCTTCACTGCTCGATGTTTCGGAACTAGAGGCCGACGAGGAAGAGTCCGAAGAGTCTATAAAAACAAATCGGCATATATTATATAATAATAACAAAATTATTAACTAACATGAATATTATAT